TTTTCTTTCTGCCACACTGAGACCCCGTTGATTTCCCAATTGTTATGTTCCCAGTGTGTTATCCACTCCACCAGCTGTTCCACCTTCTCAGCCAATAGATTCTCCTTCTTTTTCTGTCCTCCCCCGAGCTCGCCGCAGAGGAGGAGCAGCAGCAAGAGGAGGAAGCATCTTACTGGAATAATGAAGCTGATCCCCAGCAAGCACTTCTGACACCAGAAAAAGTAATATGTCACGATCCGTGACCTATTATATCTCCTTATTGGAGTGTATTAACTTATCAGGATTTGCTGAGAGATCCACACGTGGGTATCGCCTCACACAGAGGATACAGGAACTTATGTCCCGACTTTTTTGAGTGAATAACTCGCTCAGTGCTTACTAAATTTCTAACAACAGCAAGGTTTATTGTGGGGAAAACAAAGCAATTTGGGGCAGGGAGGTCCCCAGTGTGGGGACCTGGCACAGCCGCGGTGAGCAGCTTCACCTGCTGCCCCGAATTCCCTCCCACAGCTGCCTGAAGCATAAAGTGCGATCCTGAATCAAGAATGTGTAAAAAAGAAAACTAAAGACTCTTCAATACATATGCATGCATAGACTTTTCAGATTTCACTAATCTCGCAGAAAGCCTTCTTTGCAGAAAATTATATTAATGTAATACGTAATACAATTAATTTGAATTCAATTCCCAGAGCATTCACGGTGTAGTCTTCAAATCACTGACTTTTTTTTTTTTTTTTTTTGCCATGAAAGTGCTTACTGCAATGCACATGTAATGTTAAATTAATGAGTCTGTACTTCAATTTTTCTTCTTTTTTTCCCCCCTCGAATTCCAAATACTCACCTATGCTACATTAATTATTTATACACATTTTTGTGCTGAAGGCTCCGAACTTATTTATTAAGCTATTTTATTACATCATTTAAAAATTGTATTAATTTTATAATCAAAACACTACAACAAAATAGGAAGCTGAGACACTGAGAGAATACTCAAAAGTACCTGTTTATTTTAGGCACAGAATTTTTTATGGTATTTTGGTGATAATATCAGAAACTAATTGGATGTTACTGCTGACATCTTAGCACTGAGCATTTGAAGCATTAAATGGGCTGTTGTGTTCCCTGGAGTAATATTTGCAGTGTGCCTTTGAGAAGTTACTTATATCCATAGGAATTGGACATTGTATTCAAATAATCAACTAGACACTTAAGATTGATCTGAGCATCTAAGTCCAAGAGAGTTCAGACCATCTGTTATGGACATCCATCAGATTCTGATTGTCATTGGCATGCAGTATTGACCCTACTTCTCAAATATTTAGGAAGGTTTATTCAGCAGCTCTTGACTATAGATTTGGAGTCCAGACACCAGGGCTGCCATAAGTCTTCAAAAAAGGGGATGTCCATATGCCAACATTTATTTATTTTTTTAAAGAGTAATCACAAAGCCTGACACTCCAGATCTCAGCTACCCAGAATTTATGCTGTTTAGTAAATAGCTGGGGAAGAAATAAATGGGGAGGAATGAGTTCAAAAGAAAGACTGAAAACAGGAAATGGAAGAGAAGACAGGACACAGGAAGAGGGTCACATCGATGAGTGAAGCGAATGTAGGATGATTAGAGGTGAGAAGCTTTGGTTTTTACTTATGTGTTCCAGGGTTTGGAGGTCCAGTGTTTCCTGGAGCATGTAGACCTGTTTACCCCAATATTTTATTTTTTTTGTGAACTAAGGAAAGAGAGATCCTATTTTGGTTATGGAAACACTTGTGCTACCATTAATCTCTGAGGCTTCGTTAACCTCAGATAGGTAGTTTTTTCTTCAGATAGGAATATGGTTTTTAAATCATCTGGCCTTTTTATCACCTTGAAAACCATCCAATTACAAATATTCTGACACCACTTTCTAGGGTGTGGCTCAGATGGCAGAGGCAGGTTGAGTGCAGAAGCAGGCAATGGATTGAAGGTGCCTAAAACAATAACAAATGAATTCAGGGAGGGGAGCAAGCAGATGCCCAATATGTGGCTCTGGAGACAAGGAGTGCAGTGAAGCTTGGCTAGAAGAGTGAAATGCAGAGCAGCTGTCATGTACATGGCAAACCAACAGATGAGATTAACTCAAATCAGATATTGCAGTCCAGAAGTCCAGAAACACCTACAAATCTTTGAAGAGTGAGGGAAGAGTACTGCATGAGAGGAAAACAGGACCCTAACAGTTCACTAAAAGACAAAAATATGTGAACTGTGTATGCATTTCAGTAATTCTTTCAGAATTAGTTATTCATATCTTGCATACTTACTTTGTTAGCTTTTTTCTTTTTTACTTGTAATAAGAGTATTCTTTGTGTACTATTTAATTTGTATTCATGAGTGAGGAAAATCAGCTCTCACAGAACCAGAAAGTTTAATATAATTATGCAGAGATTTATAGGTGGAGCTTAAACCAGTGTTTTTTGTTGTTGTTTCGGGGGGGGGGGGGGGGGGGGGGGGTTTTAAGTAATCCCTTAAAATTAAACCAGACAAAAAGTTACTGCTCTTGTTGTCAGGTATCATTGGCTGTTTCTTGGAGTCACCATTAGCTTTTTTTAGTGTACTTTTCTGTTTTGTTTTGCTTTGTTTTGTTTTGTTTTTAATTGGAAAGAAAATCCACAACTCCCCCAACATTTTCTGAAGGAGTACAGCATTACATCCTCTAAAACTCCACACCCATTAATGAGTGTGGCTTTGGTTTTTCTCAAACCCACCACTGGAACATGTTAGTTATGAAAGCAGCCTGGCACAATGAGAGAACTGTCATGAGACTTACATGATACAGCTTAATGGAAAAAGGAATTGCATTTGTTAATTGCAATTTAAAATTGAACTGACCTGAAACACAGCATTTTGGTCATTTTATGAAGGTATGACACATTTTAGCTCTGGGAATGTGTATGTGTTTCTATGAAACTAATTATACTAAAATATTTTCATGCTTCTTAATTAAAGAATTAAAAAAAAAAAAAAGGTGAATTTTATTGTGATTCGGAATCAAAAGAAATAACGTGTCAGAACTTTCTGCAAGAAATTCAGAGTTCTGTTCTAACTCCTATATCTGAAATATGCAGAAGAGATAGCTTTGGAAAGTGACCCGTATCAGTATAATCCAATCCGGCGGGGGTGGGGGTGGTGTGTGGGTTATGATACAAAGTGTCAAAGGCAGTAGCAAGGGCTACTTCCAAGGAAAAAAAAATGCAAATTTCTGCCCGAACGCAGTTTCTTAGGGACAATCTTCTACTTTCATAGGGCCCTTTAACAGTCATAGGTCACAAGTTGCAAACTTGAATGTTGAAAGATGGATTTACTCCTGCAATCAAATGGAATGATATCTTCTGGCTTTCAGCCATCAGAGAGCTCTTCTTCCTTCATGCCCCATTGATCTTTCTCTAACCAATGAGCCGCATCACATCCAAGTCAGGTCTGGAAGGTGGTATACTGAGTTATAGCTTTTCTTTCTCCTATTAAAGATGAAGTGTGCAAAACAAAACTTCAGAGTTGCTGGGAGATGCTGTCTCCCAGAGAGGCACAATGCCATTAGTCAGTTGCTGTCATTAATAGCACTATTACCTCTCACAGATGTGCTTTTAAAGATACTGAGGCTCGTGGGTTTTGGCATTGCTCAGACCCTGCTCATGGAGCATAGTTGTCAAGAGGGTTTTAAGTAATCCCTTAAAATTAAACCAGACAAAAAGTTACTGCTCTTGTTGTCAGGTATCATTGGCTGTTTCTTGGAGTCACCATTAGCTTTTTTTAGTGTACTTTTCTGTTTTGTTTTGCTTTGTTTTGTTTTGTTTTTAATTGGAAAGAAAATCCACAACTCCCCCAACATTTTCTGAAGGAGTACAGCATTACATCCTCTAAAACTCCACACCCATTAATGAGTGTGGCTTTGGTTTTTCTCAAACCCACCACTGGAACATGTTAGTTATGAAAGCAGCCTGGCACAATGAGAGAACTGTCATGAGACTTACATGATACAGCTTAATGGAAAAAGGAATTGCATTTGTTAATTGCAATTTAAAATTGAACTGACCTGAAACACAGCATTTTGGTCATTTTATGAAGGTATGACACATTTTAGCTCTGGGAATGTGTATGTGTTTCTATGAAACTAATTATACTAAAATATTTTCATGCTTCTTAATTAAAGAATTAAAAAAAAAAAAGGTGAATTTTATTGTGATTCGGAATCAAAAGAAATAACGTGTCAGAACTTTCTGCAAGAAATTCAGAGTTCTGTTCTAACTCCTATATCTGAAATATGCAGAAGAGATAGCTTTGGAAAGTGACCCGTATCAGTATAATCCAATCCGGCGGGGGTGGGGGTGGTGTGTGGGTTATGATACAAAGTGTCAAAGGCAGTAGCAAGGGCTACTTCCAAGGAAAAAAAAATGCAAATTTCTGCCCGAACGCAGTTTCTTAGGGACAATCTTCTACTTTCATAGGGCCCTTTAACAGTCATAGGTCACAAGTTGCAAACTTGAATGTTGAAAGATGGATTTACTCCTGCAATCAAATGGAATGATATCTTCTGGCTTTCAGCCATCAGAGAGCTCTTCTTCCTTCATGCCCCATTGATCTTTCTCTAACCAATGAGCCGCATCACATCCAAGTCAGGTCTGGAAGGTGGTATACTGAGTTATAGCTTTTCTTTCTCCTATTAAAGATGAAGTGTGCAAAACAAAACTTCAGAGTTGCTGGGAGATGCTGTCTCCCAGAGAGGCACAATGCCATTAGTCAGTTGCTGTCATTAATAGCACTATTACCTCTCACAGATGTGCTTTTAAAGATACTGAGGCTCGTGGGTTTTGGCATTGCTCAGACCCTGCTCATGGAGCATAGTTGTCAAGAGTGCAGCAGCTGCTGATTCCTGTTCTGGACTTTGCTTACTATGAATAAAAAAGATAAAACTACCTATTTACTTGTCAGCCATCCAAGTTTACCGGTTTACTAAGTGAACTATTACATTTATCTTCTTTTTATTTTCCCTAATGAAAGAAAGGCAATAGTAGGCCAGGCTGGTAATACTGGAAATGCCTACTTAAACTGAAACCAGACTAACAATTTTTTCATTACCTTTTCTTCTTGAACAATGCACTGATCTTTTCTTTGGGAATACAGCTATATGACTTAAAACAAAGCATGCAGTTTTCACTGTTGCACATAAATTTTATTAACATGCTTTATGCCCTTCACCAATAGGGAGCTGCTATGAAACCAGATTGGCTACAAAACCTCATATCACCACATTGGTATTTTCCATAACATTTAGCTTTAGTAAACTTCTTATTTATGTATACAATTGAAGTGATGTACATTTTTCTATCATTGTCCTAGTTCACTGACTTCAACTAGGATTCCAAGAAATATTATACAGAGAATTTCTAGATGGAATTGAGCAACAAAATAATTTACATCTACACTAACACACCATACATTTAAATTTCTTTTGATTTACAAACTTTCCTTTCACTTTTTTTTCATAAATTAATTTCATATTATGATGATGAATGCATTGTGTGTTATCTTGGGTAAACAGACTCACGTACAGAATGGAATCATCCATATATTCAGAAAAACTAAAACAGCAATCTAAGCATAACTGAGAGTTTTCATAGTTTATATTGGTGGAAACAGGATTGTTTCTAGCTGGCACGCAGCAGCGTTCCTGGCCCTGCCTGAGTAAGTAGACTAGTCCAGATGCTCCTTGACATCATATCCATGGTAGGCTCTCAGGAGCAGCAAGCTGTGGAAATTTCTGTAATTCTTCCCTCTGAAAAAAAATTCAGTTTGTCCTAGGATCTTGAACTGTCTTAACAACCCAGTGGCTTTGAATGCTAGATCCAGGGTCTCAGATACGTGTGGTGGGGCATGCCCAGATGTTTGCTAAGAGATCTTCAGCTTTATCACAGACTTTGTATGGGAAGACCTGCTCAGCATGCAACTACTGGCTGTCCTGTCTCTGCTAAGTCTGTGGAGCCCCAAGGTTTCTCTTTCAGGCAGACACTGCTGAGAAATGGATGAAGAAAAGCCCTGCCACAGTCCCTGGTGGGAAGCCTGTGGTCCATATTGGCACCTGTGTGCCAGAGTATGCCATGAAGATTTGTGGATTAGTTGTTCAGCTTTTTTGCTCATGAACGTCTGGGCTAAAAAGCTTTTTGAAATTTTCCATTTGTGAAGGACCAGGTATTTCCTTACACGAACATGAAATGTCCTTTGAGTCAGCCGACAAAACTGACTTAAAACGGTGTCTCCACGCGGCGCTGAACCCCCTCTGTGTGTATGGGGGGGGGAGCAGCTGCTGCAGGGGAGGAGCCG